GAAAAACTAATAGGAGAAAAACCTATAATAGATCGCAACATTGGCTCAGGTGAGAAGGCGCAAGCACCAATTCACGAAATCTCCCAACGAGAACGTGATCTCAGAAAGACTTCTGTCCATATTTACCACTTAAATAAAATTAGCTAAACGTCATCGTCCCATATGATATGTTTTCCTGAGGGCCCGTGACCATGGCTAATTGGACAAGGCGGCAAACGTACATATGTCTTTGCCTCGTGCGCAAAGATGACACTGGAAACCCAATGTTTCGCCTTTTTTTTCGCATCATAGCGTCCTCGAGGTGCCAGGTACAACAATATACTTCATTAACATAGGAATGATTTTTGCACCAGTTGCTACTTTCGGTTGCGGCCATACCATGCAGGAAGCACTGTTTCCCGTCCGATCAACGTTAGTTAAGCTGCATAGGGCCACACTGAGTAGTGTAGTGGGAGACCATATGCGAAATTGTGGTGCTGCAATCTTTTTGCCCCGTCACTTCCATCGGTGTGCCCAAGGCGTGGGCGCCCGGTGCGTACTACAGAGAAACATAAGAAATGCTGTTCCCAGCATGCACGACAGCCCCACGCCGAAATGGGGCGCCAGCGGCGCCCGTCACGTGACCGGGTCCCCCGCGCCCCACCATGCTCCATACGTACCAGCCGAGATATTAGGCCACGGCTCTCATCACCGTTCTTTTTCTCTCTGTGGCTCTGAACAATGGCGCTTACAGAGCAGGTGGCCGGATGGACCGCGGAGGCGTTCCGCACGTTGGAAACCGCGCGGCAGATCTCGGCCCTGGCACATGCCAGCTTGGGTGCTTCCAGCGACACGTTGACCGGCGAAATGCCGGCGAAAATCGCCGAGGCCGTTGCCGCTTTTGAAAAGCTGCTGAGGCAGCATGCGCTGCTTGTGCAGATAGCCAAGAATGTGCAGGCAGACGTGCTCCGGTGCACGGACGGCCACGACAAGAAAGTGAGCGGGATTTTGCAGCCGGCGCTCCGGGACTTGGACGCGGTTTTGGCCACTTTGCATGGGATCTCGGTGCCCCTGTTCCTCGTGAAAACCGCCGCCAGCGACCGGCAGACCGCGCACCGCCTCGACGACTTTGTGGCGCTGGCCGACATCGGCAGCTTGAAGACCAACATCGACATCTACCTCTCCAACTGCGCCAAGGTCGGTTGCCTTCTACAAAAACAGGTCAGCGGCCTCCTCGACAACTTGGGCCTGAAAACGGCCGACTTCAAGCAGCTCGCGGCGGCCTACGATGCCCAAGTGCTTCCCGTGAAGCCGCTCGTGAAATACGCGTCTGCAGAGGTGCCCCTCAACAAGGGCCCCGAGACCCTCGTGGCCACGATCTTGAAAGAGAACAGCGCGTTGGGGCTGGAGCTCTCGGCGCTTTTGGAAATGCTCACCAAGCACTACGACCAGTGCACGCTAGCGTCCAGCTGCGTCGACGGCGCACGTGACGAGCCGGTGGACTTGGACGTGTTGCGGGGCGACACCCTCGAGTTGCCGTCCGTGCTCGCCGAAATCAGGGCCATCTACGACATCATCTTGCACAACGGGCGGCGCGCGGCGGCGTTCTCCGCACAGAAAATCCCGCCGTTGGCCGCGTTCTGCGACCGGTGCCGCGTGTTTCTGGCGGCGTGCTCGGACTTCCAGGACAATGACGTCACCGAGCTTCTTCTTGTGCTTGTGCACAGCCAGACCGTGTACAGCCGAAGCTCGCTTCCCGCAGCCCCGGCCGAAAGCGCCGGGAAACTGCCCTCCAAGGAGTCGCCTGTGGAGGGCTATGCCCACATGGTGCGGGCGCTCGGTGACCACTACCACCACTTCTGCTCCGTGTACCAGCTGCAGTACCTCAGCGAGCTCCACTACGAGAAATTCGTGTATCCGCGCAAGTATTTCAAGCTCTTGGACGAGTATCTCAACGGGCAGCTCCTCCGGTTCGAGAACGAGGAGCGCGACCGGCGCCGCGAGTGGCTCCGGCGCTACGGCGACTTCATCCCGGCCGATTTCTACTTGCCGGGCGAGGCGGACCAGCCCCACGTGACGCAGGTGGCCAGCGAAGGCTTGGACCACTTGGAGACGCCCTCTGCGCAGGACGACGAGGACCGCCTTGTGCGCTTGCTCAAGGAGACACAGCTCCTGCAAGAGAAGTGAACGCTGGGATGTTGCTATGTGCATTCCGGGCTGCTGTCGAGGGGACTGGCGGGGCACATGGACGCGCTCAATATTGGGGCTCCTGCTTGGGGTTGCAGATTTTGCAGTTGACCAACTAGAGGGCCACCACGTGGCGGACTTGGTGCTTCTGCGTGCCTCTGCTGCTTTATCTGCTGATGTGCATTGCGGCCTTCCCTGGACATTACAACTCTTGTGCTTGTTCTCTTTCCTGCCGCACTGTTGAGTTTGTGCTGCCTTTGAAGAACGCTTAGTGGATGCCGAGGACACCACATGACTCGCCTAGTGCTCTGATTGCTCGCTGCTTCGGTGGTGGAATTGCCTCTCTCAGACCAACACAAGAGTTCTCAGCACAGAATAGCAGTGCAAGGTGACAATGCTGTCGACGCGCAGTGAACATCGCTTCCTACATTCCCCAAACCCCTACATGATTCTGGCCCCAGCCATCGATTCACATGCTCTAGGATGCATGCCCTTCCATGCTCTGCCTCGTCCAGCCGCGCTGCTTAAGAACACCCGATTCACGAGAATACCCTCCAAATCTATTGGCCACACCCCGTTCCCGCTATGTTTACAGAAGCCTCGTCATTCTGAAATATCCGGTTTTTTTTTCCGGCTGCAACCACTTTCTCCCCCTCGGCTGCAACCACTTTTTCCTCCCCGGTTGCAACCACTTTTTCCTCCCCGGTTGCAACCAATTTCTGGGACATATCCGATCTGGTCCCCCGCCTATTTGGGGCCTGGCGCGCGCCTCCAGCCGCACTGATCAGAATACGTGCGCAGGTGCAGGCAACACCAACCCATCAGGCTTGAGGTGTTTTTCTCCACCACGTCACATGTCCCCAAATGTCCCACAAAAAAAGCGGGGTCTTGTTTTCTGCAGCCTCCACGGGGGATTCCACAGATGGGCCTTCTTCCGGTGCCAGTAGGCCGGCGGATGCAGTCCCGAAAATGGGACTGATGAGCATGTCTATCCCGAACGAGTATTCGGATCTCGAAGAGGACGATGACGAAGACATTGAAAATCCCAGCGACAAAGAATCCGTCATCCCAAGCTTTCATCTGGGAAGCTCATTTGAGCGGCTCGCACATGAGCGTAATGGCATGCCTTATCAGCGCAGCCCACGGCATAAAAAAGAGAGCTCCATGGTCAGCCAGTATGGAATTGGTGCCAAGTTGTTGATGGGTATGGGCTACCAGGAGGGAAAGGGACTAGGGTCCAAACAAAACGGCATTGCTGTGCCCATCGAAACCAAACTACGACCCCAAGGGCTAGGCGTCGGAGGGATCCGCGAGAAAATCAGTGGAGCAAAGCAAATGGTGAGCTCCGATGACGACAGTGGTCACGGGGAAGGAACAGTTGCTTTTTCCAAGCCCACATATGACCTCTTTTCCGTCATTGATTCTCTCGAACGAGCGGGTGTGACTGTTCCACTTCGCTACAAGGAGCTTTCCGACAATGCAGACGCAAACCGGGATGCCTTGGAGTTGGAAAAGGCACACACAAGACTCTCACAGATCAGCACAGAGGTGGCGCTTCTTGATCTGAAAATCCGAGGTGTGCAATTGGAACTCGATCACAATGCTCGCTCGCTAGAAGCCGAGATTCTCGAGAAATCCACTTTGGAGACTTTAATCAGCAAGCTCAGCATTCTGCGTGAGAGTATCTCGGACACACATGCTTTGCTAACAGAACTTACAAAAGATCCTCTCCGTTCTGTTCCAGAGGTACAAAATATCTTTGTTGCATACGCAAAGACTCAGGTGGCAGAATTATTCTCTTCAAATGACGCGCACCTGCTTGAGCAGTTGCTGACATGGGCTGTGCTTTTCAGAAGTTTAGAAACAGAGCATGCGTCCTCGGCTCTCAATAGTTGGGATGCGCTTATTTTGCAGCTTCTCAAAGAAAACTCTGATAACTCGAATATCTCGGCGCACGATTTTAAGTTTTGGTTAGACTCACCTGTGATAATCAACTCCCCGCTCCTTGAGCAAATTGGACTCGTTGACTTTGTTATGCCCTCCTTATTGAAGACTGTAGAGAGCTGGGATCTAAAGACGGGTTTTGAGAGCACGATATTGGAGGATCTTTCTGACTTTGACTGGGATGACGCTCAACGCCGTCAAATCGTGGAAGCTGTTGCCATGAAATACGAGGCTCATCTTTCTCGCTGTTGGCTAGAAATGGCTAAGACACATGATTACGTTTGGAGCTGGGACCACTACGACCAGGAAATGAAACCTATTCTTGAGCACTTTTTTTCGACTGGCGTTGTTCTTATTGCTCAATATCACGCTAAAAAAGCACATGATTTGAGAAATCAAGTGATTTTAGACTTGTTGCACTTTTGCCAAAGCCAGACGAGTAACACATGTGATATTTTGGAACTTGTGTTGGAGTTTCAACATTCTTTTCAACTCCTATCACCGATACAGCTGGAGATTATTATGCTGTTTACCGTGCTCAACACTATGGTGAAGCACTTGATGAATATTTTGAGAGATAAAGAGAATCCAGTCCCCTTGTTTCAAACTTGGCAGCAAAAATTCGCTTCGTTGAGCAGCAAATATACCGATGTGAGGGAGTTGTTGCTCTGGTACACGAATGTGTTTATCGAACTAATCTGGTGCGTGAGTGAAAAAAAGCAGCCCAACATGCAATTGCCAACCTATAATCTGGACAGCCTTACCATCCATGAGCTTGAAAGTCTCATCCTTGGTGACAAAAAAGACCAATCGCCGAGCGTATATTCCATTGCCAAGCAGGATCTACTCGTGACATTTAAAGATGTCATTCAACAAATTTGCCTACAACACAATGTGCTTTTTCAGGTGACAGGTCGCCGGAATTCGAGTATGAATGAAATTTGTGAACTTGTTTTCCCTGATGGAAAGAAGTACTCATGTTTCATATCAAATGATGTGCTTTGGGTGCGCGAGTCGGCTGAATTTAATCCAGTTGATGCACACGAGTTCTTTGGAAATAATTGCTTGTAGGTGACATTGCCTCACTCAATGGAAGGAGTTTTATTTTCGAGAGAGAAAAAGACACAGGCGTTCTTAATACAGAATTGTAGCCATGCTCGTATGATTTAGAAAACCCACAAGGTTTTTTAAGCAAAAAATATCTCGGGATCTGGAAGAAGCTCATTTTATTACCTCGCCCCTTCTTGCACAAGGCGTTCTCTTGGAATCTTTCCAAATAATAGCTATATGCATGTTTCTAAGGACAGCAGAGTGATATTGCTAGCAATTTGATCGGTACCAAGCTTTAATCTTGATGATCAGATTTATGGGAAACTGAGACATAGGTTCCCATGGCTACGCTCGGCCCCGTTTCAAATGCTCAACCGGCAGCATTCGGCCTGGCAAAGATAACCATACAAAACATTTTCGCTTCTTCAACATACAGACACAAGAAGTCTGGTGTTGTGAAGGCAGAATTTGTGAGTCACGAAAGTCTTTTTGGTCGAACAAAACAACAATTGAGTTTCAGGCTTATTGGGCGGCGTCCTGTCGAGCACCACTTTGTACGCAGTTATCGAAAGTTTAGCTGGGCTGTGCGCTTGCTCTTCCATCAGCATGCAAGAACTCAAAAGTTCAAGTTCATGCCCTCGGGCCCAGAAACGGAAACGACTATCTAATTACAGTGTATGAGGGACCAAAATATGGTGCGGAAGAACGACCAGTCATGCCACAACTGAGGGACCTGGAATCCAACTATTCTCTTTTTTTGACCTATCGAAAGAAAAAGAATGGGAGCAGCACAAAGTATCAATAGCTCTGGGCTGGTCCCGTCCACAAGCCATGCCAGGCCACTATTCATCACGTGACAGTTCACGTGACGGTGTCTGGCTGGTCCAATGCGCAGCGGCGGCGACCTCATATTGTGCGCGACTTCTCCACACTGTTAAGCGAGTGCCGTGATCCTCAATTCATCTTCAGAATGTTCAGATCAACATTGAAACTCCCACCATCGCTTCTCACACACGTGACCAGGCTGGTGCAGCCCGGCGCCATCAGTCATCGAGCGTACTCGGTGAAAAGTAAGGCCAAAGATTTCAACAAGCTCCTTGACCAGATCGGCGACGAGAAGACCCTGGCATCGCAGAACACTCTAAAATACGTGCGCAGAGTGGGTGCCGGGTCCATTATCATAGTTATATGCTCATTGTTCTGGGCCAGCTCGCTCACGGCCCCTGTAAAAGAATCGCCTGTTGACGTTGGGAATTTGGCCCAGGACGTGAGAGACAGATGAGCGGCGGTGTGTATATAGACCATGCTTTGAGAGCAATGAATAAACGGATTTTACGACAATTTTGCTTTGCAGAGATGTTGAAGCGACTTTTGTATATGTTGAATAATGTCAGGATGAACAGGATGGGTGCTTTATTGATTGGGGGTAGTTCTGAACTTTGGCGGGCTTTTGTAACATTTGCGCTTGTGCAGTTATTAGAGACAGCAGGAAAGAAAGGTGAATGTGAAGAGAAAAGTGTTGGTTATTGAATGTGGGCAAAAATTGAGTGCATGGAGAATACTATTCCACTGAGGACCATAACAAGTAGCAAGAACAGATAAGAGAGCGATTGGCGAGCAAGAACCAAACAAATTAGAGAGACGAGAGATGAAGCGGTTTTGCTGTCAAGAAGCACATCGTAATTCACAGTTTTCCAGTATTGGCTTGACTGGTGCTCCGATAAGCCCTGGCCCATGCCCGCAACGGTGCATCAATTGTTGCAATAATTCACGACTCCATTTATGCCACGTTCCCGAGATCGTTGCAGACACCGGCTACAACAAAGACACTATGTCTTTCTGAAGTATAGATGCCAATGTTTTTAGACTTTGGGCTTTTTGAAATTCTTTCAAGTCTCTGCAGACATTCTATCTTACAGACCCTCTTCGGCTCCATGATTTTTTCCAGATACTTGGTTCTTTGCAGACATTACGTTTTTACACTTTAGATCTTTACAGTTTCTTAGAAGGCTTTGCTATTTTTGTTTCTAGGAGTTTTACAATCTTTGTAGTATTTGCGATATTTCTAACGTTTGTAGCTTTTTGAAGTAAATTACCTGACATACAGACACATTACATTCTCTTCTGTATCTACCATCTGTACAATAAATCCAGGTTGGTCGCAGATGTTTTTTGCAATCCGTGGAGCCACCTATTTGCAATCGAGAATGTTTACAGACAATACGTTCTCTGACGAGTTTTTCTTAGATTTCTAGACCCTGCTCTATGTGCACCATTTGCAATATATACAGAAGCACTCTATTGCAATTGTTGTCGAGTGTTTTTTTAAAAATACAATCTTGCAATCATATGCTTCGCAGGCATTATATGATTTTTGAGGATTAGATCTTGTAAAATCCTTACTACTTAGAAATATTCCTGACACCTTACAATTTTGGCTTTATTTGCCATCGTTCATATTTCTTTGAAGACATTCTGTATTTCTAAACACTGCATGCGGATTTATTGGGCTTAACATGAGTAGGTGAAGAGGGGAAAGAAGTGATTTCTAATGTTATGAAAATATCACTGTACACGATTCATGCTAAAAGTAACTTCTTATTCTAGGTAGTCAGGATAGACAATATTGAATCCTGCAAATATAGTGAGCTTGTTTGGAGGGTGTCGTGAATATGACAGTTATACGGTGAATGTGATTTCAAGCGTGTCTTGAAACTGGTAAATCATGATAGGACATGTTGGATCTTGTGGATGTGGCAGATTATTTAAAGAGTAGTGAGAATAAAAAGCGAGCTAATGCTCTTGACAATATGCGCGATGCTGGCGGGGTCATTTAGATGTGAAGTCGAAACAGACCCTGTTGGATCATGCGGATGCATATCTCTTATACGCGTAACTTAAACGGCGTTTTGAGACTATGGATATCAAGTATGAGAACAAAGGAGATCATAGTAGGAATTGTCAATGTATTGTGCTTTCAAGTCAAAGCAGACTATGTTGGGGAAGTGCGGTAAGTTGTTTGTGGTATTCTTTATTCTATACTCCAGGTTCTTTGCAGACACTGCCAACATTATTTGAGAATCGTCGCAAAACTACATTTTTTGCAGTCGATATAGATTTTTGCAGTCTACCATGCAACGTTATCTTTGCCAATACTCTACATCCTTCCTAGACTCTTGATTGATACATTCTCAAACACTAGTGTCTTTTTTAATGCTAGAATTTCTACAACACCCTTGCATCTTCTGGCTACGATATACTCAGAACCGTATCTGTTTAGACTCTTTGTCAAAACACACTCTACTTAGCGCGTTCTTTCCAAAAAACCACCGACACACCCCGTATTGAAAGGCCAGCAGTACACCAGCCTACTGTACCCCACCCAATGCACGTCATAGAGTCACTCAAGTTAATAAGAGCCGAACCCAACCCGAACATAAGCGGCCCAAATCCGAAAAAGCCCTGGATCAGGAATACTCAAACGTTGGTGGAAAAGACTCATATTCATCCGAGTCTGGAGCTATGCGAGGATGGGCGGTGTTTACTCGCAGACCCCAGGCATGGTAATACCGTTGTCTTGATATTGAATGGCTCTAGAATACATCCACTGAACTAACGCCAATTATGATTAGCTTCTTTGCCCACGCTGCTCTCTTCCAGCACTCTTATTTGTTTGTAGATATATTTCATTGCAATTATTGACACTCCTAATATTCTCGCTCTCTTTCAGAAATCTAGACATTTCTTTGCAATACCCTACCTTTTTCTATTTCATTCGGCTCTCTTCCAGAATTCTTATATTGGATATTGCCAATAATTACCCTGTTTCTACTGCATCGTGCTCTATTTCCAGCACCATGATTTTTTTCATTTCTTTGCAATACTTCGCCTCTTCTACTACATCCGGCTCCCCTTCTAGCGCTCTTCCGAATGTAGACATTTCTTTACAATACTTTACCTTCTTCTACTAAGTTCTGCTCTCTATCCAGAACTCTTTTCTTTTTTCGGGTATTCCTGATTTGCCAATACTTACACTTTCTCTACTCCATCCTGCTCTCTTCCAGCACTCTAATTAATTTCTCATTTTTTGCAATACTTCACCTTCTTCTACTACATTCTCGCTTTTCTTCCAGCACTCTAAATATATTTTCATTTCCTTGCAACACTTCACCCTCTGTTCTATTCTGCTCTTTTCCGGAACTCTTATATTTTTTTTTTT